AAACATGGATCAAAGACTTAATGTAAGACTTGAAACTTTAAAACTACCAGAAGAAAAGATTCAAAGCATAGGCAATGATTTTCTTTCTGTTTCTTTCTTTTGGTGATATTGGGATTTTAACTCAGGGTCCGGTGCTTGCTAAGCAAGCATTCTACCACCAGAGCCACACCTCCAGCCATTTTCTATTTAGTTTATTTTTCAGATAGGGTCTTATGTCTAAGACCAGCCTTGGACCACGATCTTCCTAACCCCCCCATAGCAGGGATTACGGGGGTGTACCACACCTGGCCTGGGAGCAATTTTCTGAATAGGATTCCAATAGCTTAGAAATAAGAGCAAGACAGGGATTAATACTTAAATATGTAAATAACTCAAAAAGTTAAACACCAAAAGGAAAAGTAATCCAATCAATAGATTAGCAAATGAATTGAACACATAGTTCTCAAAACTAGAAGTACAAATGGCCAATAAATACAGGAAAAAATGTTCAAGATCTTTAGCTATCAGGGAAATGCAAATCAAAACCATATTGAGATTCTATTTCATATCAGTCAGCATGGCAGTCATCAAGAAAATAAACAACAACAAATGCTGGTGAGGATGGGGGGAACCTTTATACACTGTTGGTGTAAAAGTGAACTAGTTCAACCATTATGGTTATCAGTTTACAGGTTCCTCAAAAAAATGAAAATAGAACTACCATATGGTCCAGCTATATACTTCTGGGTATATACCCAAAGGAATCAAAGTCATCATTCAATAGAGATGCCTGCACACCCATGTTTATCATGGCACTATTTACCATAAGCAAATTATGAAATCAGCCTTGGTTGTCCATCAGTGGGTGAATGGATAAAGCAAATGTATAAAAAAAAATACAATAAAGTATCATTCAGGCATAAAGAAGAATGAAAGCATGCCATTTGCAGGAAAATGGATGGAACTGGAGAGCATCATGTTAAGAGCCAGACTCAGAAAGACAAATATTACATGTTTTCTCTCATATGAGAAATCCAGATTTAAAAAAGAAGACATGAAGGTAGAAAGGGGACTAAATTGGAAAAAGGAAGGGAACGAGCAGGAATGGGGAGAAGAGAAGGTCACAGGGGTGGGGGAGTAAATATGATCAATGTACACTATACACATGCATGAAAATGTCATAATGAAACTCACTAATTTTTATAATTAACATGCCAATAAAAATATGAAAAAGTTTTTTAAGTTAAAAAAAGAAAGAGAAGGCTGTGACTATGTGGGTCTGGAGTGGGCCTGAGCTGGAGATTTAGAACTGAGAGTTATGGGGTTGGGGATGTAGCTCAGTGGTAGAGTGCTTGCCTACTATGTGTGAAGCCCTGGATATTTGAGTTCCAGCACCACAAACCAAAGGAAAACCAGAACTGAAAGTGATGAATTCACATGGACCCAGCAACCCTTGAGGGCATGTCAAGTAGTGGGTTGCATAGTGAACCTCCAAAAAGATACAGCCATGTTCTAATACTTGGAACCTGTGAATGTGAACTTTTTTGGAAAAAGGGACTTTACAGATATGATTAAGTTACAGGTCATAAGGTAAGATCATCCTGGATTATCCACATAGACTCTATAGCCAATAACAAGTATCTTTATAAGAGACAGAAGAAGTGAAGATTCAGATGCTGAGAAGGCCATGAAAAGACAGAGGGAGAGATTAGTGTTACTCAGGAGCAAGTCAAGGAATGCCTGAAGCCACCAGAAGCTGGAAGAGGATACAGAGATCAGGTGGATCATGGTTTGAAGTCAGCCCTAGGTAAATACTTTGTGAGACTTTATCTTGAAAAAACTCATCATAAAAGGGATGGCTGAATAGTTTAAGCAGTAAGAGCTGCCTAGCAAGTGTGAGGTTCTGAGTTCAAACCCCAGTGCTGGAAAAAAAACCACAGGAAGAGACAAGGTAGGATTCTTTCCCCTTCAGCCTTCAAAGGGAATATGGCCCTATCAACACTTTGATTTCAGACTTTTGCTGGCATCCAGAACTGTGAAATTAACTTCTCTTGCTTTAAGCTATAGTCTGTAGCAATTTGTTATAGCATGCCTAGGAAACCAATGTATTGGGTGCCCATGATGGAGTCTGAAGGCCTCATACTGCAGGCTAGGTGGGGGAAGTGGGGCTATAAAGGCTGAGATGGCATTTTCTTGGTGGGAACAAGCAGAGGGACAGAAATACACAAATGAATGAATGAATAGCTACTTCCTTCAAGGAGGGGACAATGGAAACCAAGGGGACATGACCCTCAGCAAGTCCTACCACCTCTCAGGGTTTCCAGTTCCTAGCAGGATATTTGACCAATGATGGGATACTGAGCTTTCAGGACTCACTCTGAGACCCTGTGAAGGCCTTACACATGCCTTTGGCTACTAAATCCTGGTGTGGAGCAAGGTGTATCAGAAACTTTCTGTAGTCAGAAAATATATTTAGTTCATTTCTATGTAAGTGCTAAGAAAATACTGATGGACAAAGAAACACATAGATTATGTGTTCTGGAGCTCCCAGGCCTATAGGGAAGCCACTATTCAACTCTCAGCTGTGGTATGACAAAACACACAAGGACAAAGGAGCTGTTATGAGAGGTTTTGGTCTGGCTGGGGAAGTGAGCAAATTCTTCTCTCAGAGTGGATCTGAAGGATTGATTTAGAGACAGAGAAAATTTTCTAGACAGAAAGAACAGCATGTGTAAAGGCCCTGTTGGGTTGGGGTGGGGAAGGGAAATAGCCAGTAGAGGGACTAGAGGAAGGTCAGTGTGGTGAGAGAAGTGAGCAAGGGCCAAACCAAGTGGGGCCTTATAGGTCACATTTAGGATTTTTTCCTAAGAGCAGTGAAATTTCTTTAGCTGCAGTGATGGGCACAGATAAGTCTTCTGAGAAGGTCACTGAGGTTGCCATGTGGAGGAGAGATGGAAGGGAACAACACTGGAGGGGTAGCCAGCCAGCAAAGTATTGCAATCATGAAAAGAATAGAGAAAAAGAAATGGTGAATTAGAGAGAGACTTAGGAGGTAGAATTGAACAGACTTGGAGTATGGATGGATATCTGGGAGCAAGGGAGAAGGAGGTGCCAAGAGTGACTCACAGGCTTCTGGTTAAACTGATGAGCAGTATCTCCTTTGATGCAGGAGGGAATATAGGCTGTGTGGAATGGGGGGAGGGAAGAACAAGAACTCAGTCTTGGACATGTTGCCATTGAGATGCTTGTGGACATTCTAGTGGAGATGTAGTCTGAGGGGTTGGTTGTGTGAGTCTGAAGCTCAGGATTAAGGACAAAGGTAAAGAGAATAAATTTTGAGTCATCTTTGTATGGGAAAAAATGATAGAAAAATAATAGGCCTGGGCCTGAACCCTGAGGAATTCCCTACTGTATGGACTAATGAGGAGAGAGAGAGACAGAGAAAGAGAGGGGGGGCAGGTGGGGGAGAGAGAGAGAGAGAGAGAGAGAGAGAGAGAGAGAGAGAGAGAGAGAGGAAGATGCTGAGAAGAGCCTGGGAAGAGGTGACAAGAGAGGGTAGAGGGAAAACCAAGGGACACAAGTGTTCCAAGGAGGCAGTGGTCACTTTGAGGGGTAACTTTGATGCTCCTGGTCTTGGCAAATAAGGACTGAAGAACAGCTGCTGAATTTAGAGCTTTGCAGATTGTTGAAATTTTGTTGAGACCTGGTTTGGTGGTGCTAGGGACTAGAAGGCTAACTGCAAGGCCTGAGGAAGCCGGAGGGAAGAGAGGACAAGGACACAGACAACTCTTTCATGCTTGCTGTGGTTCAGGATAGAGATGTCCAGTAGTTGTGGAGTGGAGTGAGGTAGAGGCTTGAGCGTAGTTACAGGCCAGTGGGAATGATCCAGTTGAGAAGTTGAACATTCTGGAGAGAGAAGGGCTGATTCGCAGAGCAAGCTTCGGAGAATCGGGGAGGGCATGGGAAGATCTGGGTAGACAGTGGGAGGTTTCTATTTTGTAACAGGATGTAGCACTTACAGAAAAGTTTCTGTTTGGTTTCAGCTGAGCTGTGGCTGGTGCGACACAGGCTGGGACAGTGACTCTTCGGTGTTTTGTGTGTTGTATTTCTATGTCTGTCTTTCCCAAGTTTGGGCTGTTGGCCTGGCCAGTGTGCCACAGGGAATGGCCACACAGGGGCAGGGCGGAGGCTGGGCATCTCGGTTCTGGGCTCAGCTCCCTGATGAGATTCTCAGACTGCTTCTCCCCATTCATGAGAAGGCAAGTTCACAGAGGAGGCGTGGGAACCTGCCTGGCCGCCAGGGTGACCTTCAGCTCAGGCGGAGGTTTGGTGCATCCCTGCCTCCATGGTCTCCTGGATTGGACTGGCTGACTGAGGTGGCCAATCTTTTTGGCCTGTGTGATAGGGAAGAGTTTGGGCAAACTCTGGGTGGTCCCAGTGTGCTGTGGCGCCCACGTCCCCCATCCTGGTGGGCTCCCTTCTCATCAATCCACCCTCCCGCACACATCTCCATGGGTGCCTGCCCAGGAGCCCGGAGCTTGGCCCTGGAGGTGGGCCTCTGTAGTCTTCCTCAAAGCCTTCTCCACTGGTCTGTCCCCTTCCCTGACACCCGGCTCCCATCCCCATTGTCCTGTAACCTGGTGGTGGTGATGGATGAAGAAGGAGCAGAGGAGCCTGGAATCTGGCAGGGCCCTTGGGGAAAAGGGCGTGATCTGAGGCAGGGGAGCTCGGGCGCGGGGATAGGTGGACGCCCCGTCTGCGGGCGCCCAGGCTCTGGAGACCGGGAGGCTGCGCCGCATACGTGCAGCGCGCGGCTGGCGGCATGACGGGCGCGAGCGGGCGGCCTCGGCCTGGCGCGAGGCCCACCCACTCCGGCTCCGGCGCGGTCCGGCGGCTCGGCCTTCCTAGCGGCGGCGCCCCCGGCTGAGCTCCCAGGGCGCGAAGCCAGTGGCCCCTCTGGCCTGGGGGGCGGGAGGTGGGGACGTGGCAGAGGCTCAAGCGGGCAGGGCCTGTGGCGGAGGGAGGCGGAGCCACGAGGGAGGCGGGGCCTGGCTGGCAGGCGACCCCGCGGGAGGTTCTGGAAACGCCGCGAGCTGCGCGTGTCCAGGTGAGCGCGCCGCCCGCCGGCTCAGCTGCCCGGCGCGAACTGGGATCTCCGGGGCGGGAGGGGAACGTGCGTTCTGCCCGCGCCGGGCAGGGTGCTGGGGGACTGGAGCCAGGGTTCCCGCTGTCCGTTGCTCAGTCCCGCGTCCTCCGCCCTGCCTGCCTGATTCCCTTCCCGAACTCGGGGCGGTGAGGTCAGCGGCGCCCTTCCTGCCAGTCCCCCGGAGGCCCGATAGGGTGGGGCACTTTGGCTGCCCTGCCGGGTCAGGCACCGAAGAAGGGGTGGCCTGACCCAGGGGCTGTGCCTTGTTAGGGAGGCCGCTCCCCTCGCTCCCGAAGTGCGGCAGGAGCCAGCTTGGTGCGTGTTAACTAGATAGGCTGTTAGCTCAGAAAATCTCCTTCCAGTACTCCCTGTCGACCCTGAGTTGTTTTTCCTTAGCAGTTACGGAGACCAGTGGGAATTAGTGAACTAACTCAACAAACGGACCCTTCTGGGTGCCAGAAACTGCAAGGTGTTGCTAGTCCCAGGGGGCAGGCGGAGTTGAAGACCAGGAAAGTCCAGGCCCAGAGCAGTGGTGAGTGCTGTGCTGGCAGAGTGCAGGGGCTGTGTGAGGGCTTGATAAAGGTCTGGATGCTTCAGGTCAGAGGGCTTCCTGGAGTTGGTGATCTGTGAGCTGGAGTGCTAAGATGGAGGCTGGCGAAGGTTAACTTGGACAGAGGAACAGCCAGTGTGGGTGGGAGCAGAGGTGGCCCAGCGTCACCCTTTGGGGTACTCTAGTGAAAGCAAGGTGCTCTTTAGGGAATAGCCAACGGGCTCCACCCGCGAAAGCCTGGAGGGAGAGGAAAGTACTAGGTATTGCCTAGCATGTGGAAGGGGCCCATATTGAATCCTTGAAGGACTGAGTGTGGATCAGGGCACTTCCTGTCTTAGGTGTTGCTTTGCAACATCAGGTGAGCCCCTGGATTCTGTGTTCTAATCTGAAACATCTAAAATGGTGTAGGAAAGCATCGGGACTTTTTTTTTTTTTTTCTTTTTCTGTAGAGTAACACTTAAGGCTTGTGCTTCTTGATGGAGACCATCAGGGGTTCAACATCCCCAGCCCTCTTGTAGGAGACCCCGGCCCTAAGACCAAGGGCCTGGGGTAGCGCTCTGTAGCTTGGGCCATTCTCAAATGTCCCAGACTTTGCAGAGATCCATTGTCCACTTAAGAGTTGATAGTATGATTTGCAAGCTACTGCTTGTTCTCTGTATCACATCTGAGGCAACAGGTTCCATGATTTAGTTCTCTGTTAAATAAACCAGGATTTCCTCTGGCTTGTACTTAAACTGCTCCTGAAGTGCCCAGGGTGCAGTCTCTCACTATGCTTCTGTGTCACAGAGTCCAACTTCTCTGTTTCTCCTGACTTACAGTATGTTTGGCCTTTGAATTCTTTTCTTCTATGTCCACCTTGTTCTCACATGGCCACACATGTCCACTGCATGACCTAGTCAGTGAAGCCACGTAGCATGGATAGAGTGAGTTGGCTGGGGGCCTTATCCCAAAGATGCTGTCATACTGAGCCACACTAGTTGTCTTGACAGGAGAGCTCAGCAGGCAGACATGGTCACAAGTAAACTTGTGTGGCTTGGGATAGGCCATTCATTCTACCTTGGTGCAGGCTCTGTGAGGAGGTGCCTCAGAGAGTGCTTACTTTGCCACTGGTTTGGACTGGCTTCAGCTGATCTCTGATTACCTCCTGCATGCTTGACTTCTGTCTAGAGAGTGCCAGGGGTTGGACTGAGGAAAAATAGGTGGTAGAGGCACTATTCTTGTCTGTGGGTGGGTCATAAGCTCTCTGAGATTGCCGTTTCTTAGACAGCTGGCCATGAGCCAGGGGAGGAGCCTGGCCATGTGGGTGCTCATTAAAGAGAAACGCTGGGTGCGTGCATCTCTAAGGAATGAGTGGGTTGAGGGAATCCAGGGTCTTCTCATTTCCTGAGAAAGCCTCACTTGTTGACTCCACCCTCCCACATCCTTGGGAGGGCTTGAAGCTGGACTTAAGGCCTTGGCTGACTCGTGGCCACGCTGGCTGATAGTGTGCGAGGTTGGTAGGTGTGTCTCTGGCTCTGGGGAATCTGTCAGGAGTTTAATTTTATGCAGATGGAGGTTGGCAGTAAATGCTATAACGCAGGCACGTGTAAGCCCAGCAGAGTACTGGTGTGAGAGTTGAACTTTGAAGAAGCTGCTTTTATCTAGCAATTTGGATCTTTGATGTGTGCAGGGGAGGGAGATCAGCTTATCTATAGCCAAGGGGGCTGATGGGCCCTGTGGCTTATGGATTTTGTGTTGGCAATGTAGAATCAGTGATTGCTGGACAGTTTTTTATTCTCAGAAAAAGCAGAGAGTAATTAAAAGTCTGGACTAGACTTCTCGGAGCCCCAGAAGAGAGTTTTTGTTGAATTGGTGTCATTGCAAGGCAGAGGATCAAGTGTTTGGGTAGTGTGTTCTCCGCTCAGATAGGATCTGGGTGAGCCTGGTCACAGGCCAGCTCTGCTCTAGACCTCTTGATAAGTGCTTATAGAGCCTAACCTTCTCTGTACCTGGCAATCCTGAGGCCTGGTACTTTCAGGAGCCTGGAATGAGCAGGTCAGAGGTATGGAAGTACATGAGATCCTAGAGCATTGGTCCTGTCCCTTGCCTTTTGCCAAAGAAATTTTCTTGGTGAGTTTTAGGACCTGTGATTGGCAAATTCCCCTGATGGTCTGTGCTGCCTGCCACTTGACTGGAGTCTCTCCTGAACTGAATGTTTCATCTCTTCTGACACTCCTGGTACACGGAGATTGCCCAGTTTCTGCCTTATTCATGTTTCTTGCATCTTCACTGTTCCCTACTCACCAGAGATCAAGTGACTTAGGCTGGGGAATAGTTTGCTTTAGGACCACTGGTTTTCCTCTGGTGCTGTTGGTGCTGATGATTGGCATATATTGTGCCTGATGCTAGACTGTTTGCTGACATCTGCCATCTCATTGAGTCCTCACAATATCCCTATGAAATGTAGTTCCTAGAATCATCTCCATTGTAGAGATGGAGAAACCCAGCTCAGAGAAGCCTGTAACTTGTCCATGGTCACAAAGCCAGGAGGTGGTAGTAGAGCTGGGACTTAATTCTGGGCTTGTCTTACCCCTGGGTAGATTTACCTGCTCATTGAGTTGTACTGTCTTGCCCTGAGCTGGGCTGGTTGCTTATTTGTGAGTACTGTGATATCTGGGGTAGGAGTAACTGCCCACCTAAACTCAAAGAGAGCCATGTTGCTGTTTTCTGGGTGTAGGTTGCTTCCTTCCTTCTGGTGAGATCCAGCCAGGGATGCCATGAACCGCTTTTGAACCTGTGGGATAACCCATGATAAATAAAGTCCATAGCCTGGGCAGTGTCTCACTAGGGCAAAGTGTAACTGCTGTGTTTGGAAGGCCACTGTTCTGTGAAGTAACAGATATTACTAAGACTGGATAGCGATATGTAGTAAAACGTGTGTTTGAGGCTTGGTTTTGTTTCTGCCATTGATTTGCTGTCATATGTCAGGTATTTAGAAAACCCTTTCTCTGCCTCAGTTACCTTTCTTATATATCTAGCTTATACGGTATTCCCCCTGCCCCCTTCCCCTTGCTTTTGCTTTCTGAAGTTTCAGTTTAATCATGGTTAACCACAATCTGAAAATATTAATTTGAAAATTACAGAAATAAATAATTTTTAAGTTTTTAATTCTGGGTTCTTCTGAGTAGCATGATGAAATTTTGTGCCATCCCGCACTGTCCTGCCTGCGACATGAATCATCCCTTTGTTCAGTGTATCCTTGCTGCCTATGCTACCCACTTGTTAGACACCTAGTTACTTTGTAGCCATTTTGGTTATCAAGTTGACTGTTATGGTTTTGCGGTGTTTGTGTTCTTTATTTTATATAATAATGGCCCCAAAGTGTAATGCTGGCAATTTTATTATAGTGCATTTTTAGAATTATTCTATTTCATTAATTATTATTGCAAGTCTTTTACTGTATCTATTTAAATAAACTTTATCACAGGTATATATGTGTAGGAAAGAGTATAGTATATCCAGGGTTTGATATTATTGGTGGTTTTAGATACCCACTGGGGGTCAAGGAATAGATCCTTTGTGGACAAGGGTAGACTATTGTATCTGAAATGGAGATGATTTTCCAGCTCACAAGGTTTTGGTGAGAATTAGATGGCAGAAATGAAAGATTTTTGGAAACCAAAATTGTGGTTATCTTAGACTAGGTTCCCAGAAAACAGAGCCTAAGGCAGAGCTTAAGTGCTTAATACTTTATTGGAAAGTGTACTGTAGGGCAAGCCAGGGCAAGGGAAGAAAAACAAGGTAGAGGAGAATGGGAGGCAAATATGAGGCAGTGCTTTAGTAAACTGGCCACTCTGCATGGAGATATACAAGTTATTCAGCCATTCAGAACCTTTCTGTGCAAGATCTGTAGAAACTCCATGTCTCAGAACAGTTTCTTGTAGAAGGCATGGAGATGTATCTGCTGACTTTTTCCTGTTTTCTACCCCTCATTGGTCAGAGTTGCCTTATGGGGAGTTAACTTTCCCTCTTCAGGGCCCTTTCTGTAGCCATTGGAGAGGCCAGTCTGGAGGTGGTGGGAGAATCCAGAGATTCTGGCATGGCCCTGCAATCTTTTCCACTAGGCTGAGGCAGAGTAAGTGGCCCAGAGCCTAGAGTATGGGTGAGACCATAAAGAATATGAGGCAGTATGTAAGATGTGTCCAATATGATGGTGTGTGGATTTTGTCCTCATATGCAGTTCTTTCCTATGAGTTAGGCCCACCCAAACTGCCAAGTCTCTTGTCAAGTCCTAAACTAAAAACCCAGCTTGGTGTTTGCATGTTGTTTTTTTTAACAGCCTTTCCTGATACTTCATTGTCTAGTTCTGGAAGCAGGAGACTGTGGTTTTGATGCTTCCCCAAATGGGGAAGTGGAAATGAACACCATGGTGTACTAGATTGAGAGGTGTAGGGTAGATACATATTAACTGACACATGCACCCTTATCCATTCTTGACAAAGTCTGTTGATAGCAGTAGGGGCTGAAAATCAAAGCCCAGGGAGTTCCTTTACTGACAGTTACTATAGGGCTTCTTAATGTAGAGTGAGGGATGGGATTCAAGGGAACACTTGACTAAATTGAGCACAGATGTAGGTTCATTAGGTTCTTCGTGGAGGAGAATGTTTTTCACATGAAGTAGTTGTTGAAGGCAGGAAACCTGGAGTGGTGAGAAGGCTGGAGAGGGCAGCAGGGTTAGGTCACAAGGGCTCTTTGGGCTAAGGAGTTCGTACTTAACTCTGCTGGCAGTGGAGAGCCAAAGGAAGGGCTTCAGTAAACCCTGCTGGCTGCTTGGTAGAACAGAGTTGTGAGGAAAGCCAGATAAGATGTGGAGAGGTCAGAGCAGGTGGGGTTTGCATGACTGAAGGGGGCATTAGTGGTGGCTCAGACCAGGGTGATGATCACGGCATGATGTCAAGTTAGGAGAATTGGGTGACTCCCATCCTTGCTGGGCCTGAATGTCCATCCATGTGCCTTGGTGGTGAGGCCTCCTGGAGCCTCTGCACAACTCCTCATAGGCTGACATGCACGTCCTTACAGCTCTGCCATGGTGGAGTTGGCCACAGTGTTGGGAGGGAGGGCTATGATGGGGTTAGGGGTCAAAGAGTACTTGTTTAGGAAGGTTTGCTACTTCATGGAAGGCAAGCAGCATTTTGTTCAGTGCCAAGCCAAGACCTATTTGTTCTCAGCAAACCCATGTTCTGTCTCCAGACTGTTAAATACATTGTTAAAACTGAAGTTGTTGCATTTGGGTTGCAGCTGTGAGCTTGGCACAAGGTCCTGCCTGATGAGGTAAGGGGAGAAGCTAAGGCCACTGCTGGTTTGCATCTGGAAACATCTTTTCATGGCTATTTGGCCAGGTTGTAAATGTCCTTTCCAAAGAGAAGACTTGGTGTAGAACCTCTGGTTGTATGTTTTGGAATCACTATGCTTAGAAACAGTGCCAGTCGCCTGGTGAGTGAATTACTGTCGCTTGGATGTTGGCAGGCTTTGTAGGGCCTCCCTGTGGAGGTCCAAATTCCAGGGCTGCCAAGGCTCCTTTAGAGTTCATTTGATGAGGACCCACTTTGTTTCCTTTACATTTTAAGCATATTATAAAATAGTTTTAAAATTCTTATAGAATTCTTATAGAAAGATTAGGAAAACAAGCATAGAAGGAAAAATTATTTCAAGATAAAATTAGATTATGACTTTGTGCATGTGTGTGTGTTTGTGTGTGTGTATTAGTTCTTTCTTAAAAAAAGAAATATGTGCTGTATGACAGCACATATTGTTTGGGGCTTGCTTCTCTGCTTTGATCTCTCCATGTTGATATGCATACAGTATTCATTCTTATGTACATAACAAGAAGTATAAATTGTAGTTTCCTAATTTGAACAATTTGATGATGAAGAATGATGTTATTTTTTTTGGGCGCCTGCCTGATACAGGACAGACATAATTCTAAAAGCCTGGGATGCAGCTCAGATAAAAGTCAACTTTGTTGCTTGGGGGCGTGGCTCAAGCGGTAGAACAACTGCCTAGCAAGTCCAAGGCCCTGAGTTCAAACGCCAGTACTGCAAAACAGGCAAAACAAAACAACCTCTCAATGTTGTGTTTCTGCTCAGGCTCAGTGCTGCTTTGTTTTTCATAAAAGGGGGTTTGACATTGACCACCTCCAGGTCTATTCTTCATGGATTTCTGAGGGTTCCTCGAAAGGCTTTTGGCAGTGCTAAACACTGTGGGGTACTAGTCAGGTGCACACACTGCTACCAACATTGTGTGGAGTAAGCTCTGGGTGTAGGTATGAGATGAGAGTTGGCCTTTCCCACATTGTAGGGCACAGCTTGTCTTAGATGCCTTCTTTTACCAATGTGGCCCTAATTAGATGACCTTTTGTACAAAGCCTTTTGAGTTCAGGGGCCCAAGATTAGGAGAAATGGACTAGGGCCTCAAAATGGCCCTGATTAGGATGGCCGTGTTGACGTGGTAGTCTGTGAGCTGCTTGGGGGTGCCCAGTTCTGGGGCCAGCAGAGCTATCATACCCCCTCCCTCCTGCCACAGCAGGACTTTGCAGGCTCTTGATAAGTCATTTCTGTGATTCTTTGAGGCTCTGCCTTCAGGCTGGGATTCGTGGATGGGCTCAATCTAAGCCAGGCAGCACATTCCAGAGAAATGACAGCTGTTATTCATGTAATAAAGAAACTTGGCTGCACTTTCTGAATGCTGTAAATTATGAACCACAAACCGTAGTATCAGCAAGGTGATTTGAAAGGAATGAAAAGTTCCCCTCCTCTGATTGTTGTCTGATATCTGAAGAGGTATGCAACTTCAGCTGGCTGCACAGCTGGGGAGAATTATAGGAGCCCTTCTTCTAGCTCTGTCTAGCCTGATTTCCTGGGCCATGCTCTTTCACCACCCTCACCCTGAGGGACAGTTGGCTGGTCCCCCATTGTTCACAGATTCTCCTGGTTCTGAGTTTTTCCTGTCCCCTCCCTACACAGGTACAGAAAGTACTCTCTTGAGCTAGTCAAGCCTCTTGAGGTCCAAGAAACAGACACCACCTCCCTTTATGGGGGAATTGAACTCAGAGTCTTGCAGTTGTTAGGCAGGTGCTCTACCACCTGAGCCACCCCTCAGCCCTTTTTTTTCTTTAGTTATTTTTCAAATAGGGCCTCATGGCTTTGCCCAGACCACAATCCTCCTATTTATGCCCTCTGTGTAGCTGGGATGACAAGGCACATGCCATCATGCTGGGTTTATTGGTTGAGGTGGGGTCTTTCTAAGCTTTTAAAAAAGTTTTGCCTGGGTTGGCCTCAAACTGCAATTCTCCTGAATAGCTGGAAAAATAGACACGAGCTACTGTGTGCCTCCCCATCCCCACCTTAAGGGGTATTCACTTCTTGTGGAAGCAAGAAGAGAGGCCTGGAATTCTTGGGTGGAAAATATAGTGTAGTGAGGTCTGGGAGCAGACCACGCTCCTTCCAGCAGACCTGGGAGGATCTGGGCTCTGCATTAGGGTTACCCTAGGCCTATTCACCTTTTTTTGGTGACTTGCTTCCTTCTGCTCTACTGCTCTGACTCCTGTAGCCCAATACACCCTGCCATACAGCAGGTACTGGTTTGAAAGATAATTGTCCTGCACCTCTCTGGCTCTAGTATCTAGACTGTGACAGACGTGCTGTTAGTTCTGCAAACATTTGGATGGGGCATGAACACATGGAGCCATCCACTTGTGCTCTCCCTTTCCTGGTAGAGGAGCCTGTTTGGGGATGGGGTTTGTAGCCAGCCTTCTCTCAGCCTAATCTAGACCCACAGTGGAGTTGGATTTCTTCTGAAAGGGTGAGTGTGACTATATCTCATTGATTAAGGCAGGCAAAAATTGATGAACTGGCATTAGTCAGCTCAGACTTGGAATTCTGTCAGATAAAGCTGATGTTTTTGGAGAAGCATTTGCATTTCCTTCATTTTCCTTGTTTTGCCTTAGTAAATTTCCAGTTGAGCACTCAGTAAGTCTTGGCTGAAGTGGAGCAAGAGGAAGGATGGGGAGCAGGGCTCAGACAGGTGCTGGTCCTCCAGCACTATCCTGGCTGCATGGTTGAGTTGGGGAGATGATGTCTGAAGCTTCCATTGTATACTTAGGTCCACTGCCATTGAGGCCTGCACCAGGTTGTGCCTGCTTCCCACAGAGCTGTGTCTATTTCTAGGCAGACGAGAAGGCAGTAGCTGGCTTCTTCCCCATGTCAGCAGCTCACCCTAGGGTCCTGGCCATGTGTGGCTGATTCACTTTTGTATTCTGAGTGCCTAGCTCAGTGCCTGGCATCTCTGGGTCATCAGTAAATATTTGTGAAAGAATGGAGACTGAGCAGTGAGGACAGAATGATGTCTGCCCAGGAGCTTTGCTACAGGAAGAGTGGTGTCTGCCCAGGAGTGCCACTCCCCTGACTGCTCTCTTCCTGGCAGATACAAACTGGCAGGGATCATTTTATTCTTTTTCTGGCTAACCATCTGCTGTATACTCCTAGTGCATATTGTATTAGTTCTCTTTCTGTCTTTGTTTCTTTGTACTATTGCCTTTTGGGCAGTGGATATGTCCTTAGTACCTGGCACTATCCTGGTAAATGTTGGAAAACAAGATAGATAAACATTCTGTGAAATGGAAGGAGGTGGCCTAGAATCTTGTACTGACAGATGCTAGAACCAGAGGTGACTGTACCACATCAGCCTCTTCATGTTGCAGGTAGTTGCCAAGAGTTGAGAGGATGGGGTCTCTCCCAAAGGCATATGGCTTCCCAAGACAGAGACCAGAATTGAGGACACATCACTGGTTCCATACCCTGTGCTCTTTCCCTGGGTGATCCTGAATACCTTTCTTAGATTTTGTGTGCCAGGCCAGGATTTTGGCATATGTATGCCCATGTGTATGTATGTCCTTACCTAAATTGCGCTTTTTCACTATGCTGATCTAATGAACGTCTCTGACTGCCTTGCAGACAGCCCTTTCTGACCATGAAACTCCAGGTGTCCACGTTGCTGATGGCCTGGTTTGGTGTCCTTAACTGTGTGCAGGCTGAATTCTTTACCTCTATTGGTATGTGGCAACAATACAGTTACTTATCTGAGCAGCCCAGGGTATGTCACTGTATGAGGTCCATTCTCATCCTGGATGAGATGTCCTCATCTCTTGGGGACAGTGCAGCTTGCATAGTTGCTATTTTCCCCTCTGAGGTCCTGATGACCTGGATGTCCTACAAACCAGCTTTCGGATTGGGGCCCTTGTCTCTGGGAAGTGCGGGCTGCATATGGGCTCTCTGGCCTTTTTGATCCTGGTCCAGAGAATGGTTCTGACACTCTGTGTCCTGAGGATTTAGCCTCTCCTTTCCTTCTCACGTGAAGTTTCAGAGCTTTTTTCCATGTGATGAGTCCTTAAGATATCCATGCCCCAATGACAGGACCGACCGGATAACAAAAAGGAGAATGAGATTTGGGACTGTCTCCTTGAGTAGCCCCTAGTGTACTTATCCCAGACATCCTCTTGAAACCTTCGTCTCTCTCTTCCTGAAGTTGGGGGCGAGGACCATGTGGTGTGGGGTACCCTTTAACTCTTAAGTCCTCATGATTCCTAGAGAGCTCACATGCCCTTTGTCCAGGGGACTTGCTTCTGTGTTGGTGTTTTGTGCCCCGAAGAAAGGGGGCTGGATATCCCTCATCCATTCCTTACTGGCATTTATTCTTCTCCTGTAGGGCACATGACTGACCTGATTTATGCAGAGAAAGACCTGGTGCAGTCTCTGAAGGAGTACATCCTTGTGGAGGAAGCCAAGCTCTCCAAGATTAAGAGGTGTCCAAAGTTCTAAGACCCCATACTCACCCTGAGTCAGCCCTGCTGCCCCTGTCCCCAAACCTATTCAGAGTGTCTATTAAGAGCAAGCTCTTGAGAGGTGATGTGGCATGGAGGTTACTTCATGCCAATCCTCTGGAGTAGCTAAGTACTAAGGAATTAATGTTTTTCCCTTTCTACTTAAGACCTTTTAATTTACTTGGGGTTCCCAGCTCTTGTCTAAGTTAAAGGGCTAGACATTATGTATGCAAGTTCCAATATTCATGTTTTGTTACCTCTTGACAAAAAGGATCAAGCCCATGTGGGTGGGTATAGTAGGGTTTTTTTTTTGTTTGTTTTTTCTTTTGGTTCTACAGCTGGGCCAGCAAAATGGAAGCCCTGACCAGCAAGTCAGCTGTTGACCCTGAGGGTTACCTGGCTCACCCTGTGAATGCCTATAAACTGGTAAAGCGGCTGAACACAGACTGGCTTGCACTGGAGGACCTTGTCCTGCAAGACTCGGCTGCAGGTGAGGGAGGGACGTGATTATGTGCCCAGGTGTGTCTGTCCATGTGCTTATGCATGGGTAATTGTGTCTAAACTGGTACTGGGTCTGGTGGACAAGTGTAGTGTGTAAACATAACCCTGCCAGTCCCATAGCTCTCTCCTTTCTCTGTGCATGCTGGCAGTTAGCTCTCCTTGTTTTTTAACAAGCCATAGTAATCAGTTATTGTCTTTTTGTAGTGTTTCTAATCCCCTCCAACACCCTTTTTTTGGTAATTTTTTTTGTAATTATACTTTAGTAGCACATGTTTTTATAGCAAAGTTAGGAAACACAAATACAATCACTTAAAAGTGCAATCCTTAATCCAATTACTTAGTGATAAGCACTGTTAAAATTATAATCTTCCTACACATGTATATGCACTAAGAAATGGAACCACACATAAACCAGGGGATGAAAAACTCATTTGCTTTGAGGGACAAATGGGCTGGGTGTTGGGCCTGAGGCAAGCTGGAAAGCATAAACTTTGAATTCTTTCCTATTCATGTATTTTACAAAGCAAACATACCTGTTGGGGGATTTGTGATGTAAACATGTACTCTTTACTGAATTTCCCAGCTTCTCTGTATGCTATTAAATTGTTCTGCAACATAATTTTAATGGCTAGATAGTAATTTATCATATCATACTGATATACTATAAAAGTGGCCAAATCATTGGATATGGGTTTGTTTTCAAACTTTTAGCAATCTTTTACATATATCTTGATGTCTATCTCTGATTATTTTTCTAGGGTAAATTCCTAGAAATGGTATTTACGGGTCAGAATATGATTTTTTATAAAAAATGTTTTTTCTGGTAGTACTTCTATGCTTTTATACTTAGGTTAGGCCTTGAGGTGGGCCCTCACAGACTCCAGCCTTGGGCTCAGCGTCTTTTCTCTTGAGCTGGGAGTACTGATTAACTTCAGTTTAGCTGTCTTTCTGGCTGAGACATGTTTCAGTCCATGTGACCAGACGTGGTTGGGCTTGGCTGGGGGCAGGGTGGCCTCTAGGGAGGGATTGGTGAGTTCAGCCCTGTTGGAGCTCTGCCCTGTGAACTCACTGCCTCCAGAAACTGAGGCTGCCTTTCCCAGATCCCTGCCTCTGGGCTGGGCCTGTATCTCAGAATGGGCTGTGCTGCCTGCACTGCAGGAGACTAAGCCTGCACAGATGATCTCTACTCTCTGAGCTTGTTCTTTATATCCTCCCCTTCCCCTCATTATATGGAAAGCCTTATAATCACCTGGAAGGAGATCAGACAGGCCCATAGAGCAATAGGTTGTATTTATCTCTGACTTTGAGTGCTTGCTCTTGAAATGAGGGAGCCACACTGACAATATAGTATGACTTTTTCTGGAGGGCATGTTTTCTTTTTCCCAGATTCTAAACTCTTTAGAATGCCTGCCCATGCAGCCATAAGGAAGACAAGGTGACAGCCTCTTGGTCCCTGGGGCCCAGGGGTTGGCTAGAAATGGGTGTTTGGGCCTGATGTAGTGAGATGAAGTGGAAGCTGGTGCTGCTGCTCTTGGGAAGAGGCCAGAGAAGGAATGCCTTGGAGTTTCCCCTGCAAATTTTCAGCTCACAGGCAGAATGGGATGGCCTGACTCCTGCCTGGAGCCCTGGGATTGCAGGAGGTGCATCTCTTATTTTATGACCAGGTCTTAGAATCCTGGGAAAGCAACCTGGGTCAGTGGTCAAAGACCAGGTTCCAGATTATGGTCTTGGGCATCGTAATAAAGAAGCTTATGCTCTGACTCTAGATACCCATATATTACAATGTGCAGGCCATTACTATTCAGTTCCAAATGAGCAGCATAGGTTGGAATAAGGAAAAGTCCTTTAGACTGGAGCCATCTGATGGAAGGGAAAACATGCCCCCTTTTCTTTTTTAGCAGTTTCTGCCTGTCTGGTCCTAGGTGGAACTCTGTTCCAAGATCAAGGGTAACCTCTTGTTCTTACTGTTGTTCAAAAGGTTTTATTGCCAACCTCTCAGTGCAGCGGCAGTTCTTCCCTACTGACGAGGATGAGTTGGGGGCCGCCAAAGCCCTAATGAGGCTTCAAGACACCTACAAACTAGACACAGCCACGATTTCCAGAGGGGAACTTCCAGGTAATTCCCCTCTCCAGGCTTTGCATGTGTCCTTCAGTGGCTGGACGAGTCAGAGACCAGTTGAGGTACACTGTCACTGCTGGTGGTGATCCTGTTTTGGGTTCTCCTTTGGTGCCAGTCTCTCACTGGCATGAGGGCCTCCTCTCCACAGCCCCTGCCTTGCTACCTCACTGAAGGTATTAGCCAAGGTCCTCTCCTCTTATGTGTCAGAGAAGGCCAAGGCTGCTGCTCAAGAATCCTCTTGGCTTCTGCCCCAGAGCACCACAGGTCTGCAGCCAGACCTGCTTCCATTACCCATCTTCTTGTTTCTTTCTGTCCCTGTTCTGCATCCCCTCAGTTATAGCCTCTACCCCTTTTCACTTGGTCCCCACCTCTTTGGGCTCTCTCCTCAAGCTCATATATAAGCTCTGTTCTTGCTCAAACTCCTCTCTCAGATCCAAGGTTCTTTTGAGTCTCCTAGTTAGGTTGCTGGGTACAGTAATTTATACTCTTTCTCCACTTTCCTGTTCTCATGTACTACCGAACCCACAGTGCTTTGTCCCTGTCTTTGCAAGGTCACCAGTGGGCAGATTTCAGGCATAATGTTCTTTTAACTTTTCAGCTGCGCTTGTTGATTGTTCCATTCTGTCTGATATTCTCCCGTCCTCTGAATTATGGAATACTTAATCTCTGTTTCTTCTCTTTTGGTTTTTCTGTTCGTTCATTCTCTTTTCTTTCCCTCTTCTGCCCCCTCTACCCCCCTTTTTTTGTGGTTCTGGGATTTGAACTCAGAGCATTCACCTTGAGCCACTCTACCAGCTCTTTTTTGTGATTTTTTTTTTGAGATAGGGTCTCATAAACTATTTGCCTGGGCTGGCTTTGAACTGTGATCCTCCTAATCTATGCTCCTGAGTAGTTAGGATTACAGGTGTGAGCCACCAGCACCTGGCCATCTCCCCCCGCCCCCAGCCCCCCAGATTTTTTAATTAGCCCCTTTCCCACTGATTGCCCCAGTGCTAGTGTTTATAAGGAAATACATTGGGTGTGGGGAGCTATTCAAGGCCAATAAACCAGGGTTGGAGCTCATTAGACTTTGGATGCCACCTCACCTTTGGGGACTCTAGAGGAGACACAAGCAGAGAGAACCATGGTGTGTGGAGTTGTTCTTAATCTTTAGGTATTCTGTTACTGGTTGGTCAAGGCCTTCATATGGATTTTGATGAGCCAATGGAAGGGGCTTGCACCTTTCCTTATTCCTGCCTCGATCACATCTTGGACCAATCCTGGCCATGAGGCCAGAGAGAAAACGCAGCTCAAAATACATTCACCTGATAGCTGTGAGACTGGTTTGTGAGAGGAGGGAGCTGATATTGATCAGTGAACATATATCTGAGTTCACTGAGTATACTGAATGGAATGAAAGGGCATAAGGGAGCTACTCTTTGGGACTCTACCCCTACTCATGTTCTCCGTAAGCACCTTCCCTAGGTGAACCCAGCCATTTCCATCACTTGAGGTATTGTCTGAATATGAATGGCAGATAGATCTGACTTACCTGTCAAGGCATGTCTCTCAAGCTTCTAACTAGTAGAGGAAAATGTCCATGGGACATCTCTACTTGGATATTCCACAGACTTCACAAACTTCATGTGCATCAAATTGAAATTCTCATCCCCATTTGAACTGTTTACCCTCTTCCCTTACCTCTTAACTCAGCAAAAAGCACCATGATCCACTGGCAGACTAAGCCAGAATTCTAAAACCTATGGATTCTACCTCCCTAGTGGTCTTCTGTACTTGTCCTCTGACTGTAGCCCCATGACCATTTTTTTCTCAACTAGATTGTTAGAATATCATTCTGACCTGTCTCATACCTCCAGCTCACTTCTTAAGACCATCCCCCGTGTGGTGTGAAGTATACATCTGTCCACATGAGTTCCTGAGTGCAATGTTTAACTTTCAGGGCTAAATCCAAACTCCTCCTATGTATAATCTTTGAAGACCTGCTGCCTCTTTGGCTTCCTTGCCTATTGTTCTAGCTTCTGTATTGCTCATTAGCTTTGTTCATTCCACCCCCCCACAGGAATGTTGTTACCCATGTCAGCTGGACTATTCTATGTCTGATTGCCCTTCAGCACTCAGCTCAGCTGTCACCCTCCAGGGAGGAGACATTTTGAGTTAGCTTCTGAGGAAGATGCTGAATGCCTGGGAGCCATTCTTAACATTCATGGCATCTGTAAGACTTGTTTGATAATAGCTCCTAGTCATTAGCATCCTGAGGAGACATCTTCATATATCATCTCATTGAATTCTTGGCCCCAGCCCTTTAAAACTGATGGTATTGTCTTTATTAGCTAGATGTATATTATCTCTATTAAGATAGGGCACTGAGACTTAGGTTGGGTAACCTGTCCAGAGTTAACAGCTGGTGGGTGCATAGCAAGGCCCACACAGCCTCAGCTTTGTCCAGCTCCAGAGCCCTACTCATTTATCTCTGTTACACTACCTCCATCAGGCAGGTTCTTGGGCCTGCAGAGTCAGAGGAAATCAATGGAGGCCCATAGTGAGGGAAAAGGACCCCAGGAACCCCCTAGTTTCTAGCCTACCTGTGACTTCATTTTGTGTCCTACATTGTGTCCTTCATCTGTCTCTGCTACATTGTTGGTTCCTGGGCCACCAGGACAAGCTGACACTGGACTCTGTAGCAGCTACCCTCCTGTAGTAGGGGTTCCTTTCTGGACAGAGGATCTCAGGCACAGAGAGCACTGTCTAAGGCATTTGTATCATGTTAGCCATGCCTGATGGCTGTTAGTGGTATTTGGGGAGAGTCACAGTCCTTGCTTTCTGTGGATCTGCTGCTGCTTCTTGGCTTGAAACTGTCTTCATAGTCACTTTCTAGTGGCCACCCCACAGCAGATGATCCATGGTCACAAGGCCTTCTGGGCTGGTGCTCACCAAGATACATGCTACCGAATAGCCAAAGTTGGCACTGTAACCTTGGCTCTTGCTCTTCCTTGGTGTCTATTACACTGTTCCTGCTCCCTCTGTTTCTTTTCCTCCTTAGTTCCTTCACAGTGTTCCTCCTCTTTTGTCTTTTCTGGGTATGTACTTGCTGGAGCTCCAGCCTCAGACACCTTTTCTGCGCTTTTCTCAGATTTAGTTGTCTTTCTTAAATTTAGCAAAATTTCCTACCCTACAGACTCATATGGCCAGTTGCCCACAAAACAAGAATCTTCTCCTGTGTGGCCTACAGGACCTTCACTCTCTCTTTAACACTACTTCTTGGGCAACTCCATCATAAAGCCTTTTCCCACTTGGGAGAGGGAGAGTTAAGGCTAGGAGATTGGCTGTGAACCCAGCCCAGCCCAAGGCAGGGCTAATGTGTCTTTGTTCACTGTATCAATGACACTTCATGGTTTGTGGCATAAAGTCCTAGTGGAGTTCTGCTTGGATAATGGCCCCCTTCTGAAGTTACTCTTCCTCCACAACCCAGAGGCTCTTTGGACCCTAACTATTTGTTTCTCTTGCTGCAGGAACCAAATATCAGGCAATGCTGAGTGTGGATGACTGCTTTGGGATGGGCCGCTCAGCATATAATGAAGGGGACTATTATCATACGGTGCTGTGGATGGAACAGGGGCTAAAGCAGCTTGATGCTGGGGAGGAGGCCAGCATAGCCAAGTCCCAAGTGCTGGACTACCTTAGCTATGCTGTCTTCCAGTTGGGTGATCTGCACCGTGCCCTGGAGCTCACCCGCCGCCTATTGTCGCTTGGTAAGAAGGTTAGGGGAAGGTAAGATGAGACTGAAGAACTGTATTAGGACAGCTCGCAAGGCAATCTATACTTGCTTCAGTACAAATGGTGACCTCCAGCTATTAGTGGCCTGAGGTCTAACAGTATGATTTTGGCATGGTGCTTTGTGTGCCTTGTGATATGAGATTAAAGAGGTCAAAAGCACTGTGCCTTTAAAACCTGTTTCACTCTTGTTAATACATGGGGATGTCATTACCTGGAGTTTCACAGACCAGCTAGGACTTTATTTTGCCACTGCTTCCCATAGGAGTCTAAGGTAGCATATGAGTGTCCCAGCAAGACCAATGTGGGAAGAGAGCTTTGTTAGATTCTGTCAAGTGAGTTAGTAAGAACCTTGGACAGGGAGTCAGGACACCTGGATTCATGTTCTGTATAACCTCAACTTAAATCTTTTAACATCTTTGGACCTTAGTTTTCCTTATCTGAGGAGTGGCACAGAAATACTGCCATGCCTGCTTCTTTGAATGCTTTGATATCCACCAGAGCTGTGGCTATTTTTTTTTTTTTTTTTGACAGTTCATCTTCTAGTTATGGCCAGTGCATGGTATGGTCACCAGTAATGGTTACACTCTGGGGAATGGCTTTAAATAGTGAGGAGGAGGCAGGACTCAGGACTACTTCTCTGAACCTTGGACCTTGGGACTTCCAGGGAGGCCTGAGAAGGAAGTCCCCTCAGAGGCTGGCTTAGTTTCCTGCTTGATGCTCCTCTCTCATCTTTGACCAAGATAGGGATAGCCTCTGTTGGGTTAGGTGTTGTGTAAGCAAAATGTAACACACAAATGGGTGCTGAAAGAGAAACTGCTTACAGAATAATTTCTCTAAATGACCTAACAGATGTTTGTGGTTTCCTTTTCCTCCTTGTTCTTTGCTTTTTTCTAGACCCAAGCCATGAGCGAGCTGGAGGGAATTTGCGGTACTTTGAGCGGTTGTTAGAGGAAGAAAGACATAAACCATTGTCAAATCAGTCAGCAGTGGCACTAGCAACCCAAGAAGGTGTCTATGAGAGGCCTGTGGACTACCTGCCTGAGAGGGATGTGTATGAGAGCCTTTGTCGTGGGGAAGGTGTCAAACTGGTGAGACCCAGGAAGGGGACAGCGCCTAGGCTGTGGACCTGGATACTGGCTCTGGGCAGGCAGTTGGGGAAGAAGTTTCTCTGTCTGCAGATACTTTTCTTAGCATCTCCCCAGTTCTTAGTAGCATCTACTGAGGCTGATGTGCAGGTATCCCAATCCTCACATACCCAGTTTTTGCTTGACTCACTGGTGTGAGGAAAATGATAGGTGTGGATGTGCCTCAGGTCCCTAGGGAAGTCACTGGGTTAAGTGTACAGTAAGTCTCTGTGGTAAAGAGGTAGCACTTCCTGGAGCTTGGTGTCTGTGACATTTCTTTTGAGAGCCCTTCAGAACCCAGTGCCTCCTCATGGGGGCTCAGGTATGAGGGAGTCTCCTGCCTTTTCCATGTCCATCCCATTGACTCTCACTGCCTCCTCCCCTAAAGAGGCTTCTCCCTTGCCTGATCTTCCAGACCTATTCATATATCTGCAAAAGGAGTCAGGAGTTATCTTTTGCCACAGGAATTAGAGACATGAAGTCATCTTGAGAGAGAAGGAAAATGGCATGATTTATAGGGTGTCACTTCATGCCAGTCAAACCGAGGGACTTTTGTTTTCATCTGTGGCAGGGTAGGAGGGAACAGGTTATGAGAACACTGTTTGCAGACTGCTGGACTGGAACTGAAGGTTAGGCCTCACTCAACTCAGGGCCTGTTGTTCTGTGCTTGCCAGACCCCGCAGAGGCAGAAGAAGCTATTCTGTAGGTACCACCATGGCAACAGGACTCCACAGCTGCTCATCGCCCCCTTCAAAGAGGAGGATGAGTGGGACAGCCCACACATTGTCAGGTACTACGATGTCATGTCTGACGAAGAAATTGAGAGGATCAAGGAGATCGCTAAACCCAAAGTAGGTATTTCTGTAGGTCCTTCTAGAGCACTGAAGGGTATAGGTTCTTTCATCTCTGGCACAGTGGGGCAGTTTGTTTGCTTACTTAGTCTTACCAGTGTCTAGCATGAGTCTACTGAGATGCTGTAGATTCAGCCTGACCTTGTGAGTTCATGATCTGGTGGGAAAGAAAACCAAGAAAGTGAGCATGAACAGCCAAGTGCTATGATAGAAGATCATACTGGGAGCAGGATAGCCCATAGTGAGAATTGTCAGTTCACCTGGTTGGAACAGGTGTGTGGGTGGGTTTTTAGGAAATGTGCCATAGGGTGCTGGAAAGCTAAGTGCTGTGGTGCATCTGATTAGGACTGCAGTGAAGTGGTTTACTTAGAGGACAATGTACATCGTACAACATTGAGCCTTCTCATCCAGAAACTTCCTAGGTCTCCCTATTTATTCATATCTTAAAGTTTTCTTCTTAGATGCCTTATATTTTTCTCATTAAGTTTATTCTTAAATGTGTTTTCTTGTTACTGTAACTTTGGTTCTCCATTTTAAAAAAAATTTTTGGTGATGCTGGGGTTTGAACTCAGGACCTCATGCTTGCTAGACAGGTGCTCTACCTTTTGAATCCTGCCTGAACCCTTTTTGCTTTATTTTTCAGATAGGGTCTCATATTTTTGCTTAGGCCAGTCTGGTTCATGATCCTCCTATTTACATCTTCTATACAGTTGGGATAACAGGCACATGCCACCACTCTCATCTTATTGGTTGTATCACTCTCATCTTATTGGTTGAGATGGGGTCTTGCTAACTCCCTTGCCCCCACTGGCCTCAAATCGTGATCCTCCCCATCTCTGCCTCCTGAGTAGCTGGGTTTATGCCAGCTACTGTTTAATTGTTTATATTATTATATTAGTTTACTAATATATGCTAAACTTGATTTTAAATATATACCTCACAGTAATTGCTAAAGTTTATTGAGTTCTTATTGATAGGACCTGTTCTAAGTGCTTAACATCTATTATGTCTATTAAATGGACTGTCTCCTTGAGGAAACTGATGTGCAGGTTATGGAGAGTGGTTGAAATTACTTACTCCCCTCTCCCCTTTAAAAATTTTTTTTAGTTGATTTTCTTGGGTTGTCCAGATAATATTACCTGCATATAAGGAAAATTCCCTTACTAATACTTCTAGTTCCTTTGTTTTTATTATCTTATTGAACTGTCAAGAATTTCTGGACCATTATTACAGTAGGTATCCTTGTCTTGTTTCTGAGTTTCCTGGAAATTACTCTGATATTTTGCTGCTAAGTATGCAGTTGGCTGTTGGTTTTGTATATGTGTCATTTTCTAAAATTACTCTTCTATTTCTAGTTCAGAAAGTTTTGGAACCATTTAACATCTTTCAAAGAGAACTGCTTGCTGTCATTTCCCTAACTTTCTCCCACCACTGATGATTGGGAGGGAGGATTTAGCTGAATTCTCTATCGTTTGTTTCCAATAAAATTATATAGTGACTGAGGTGGCCAGGAGTCCCAACACTCATGGAGTGTATTAGTCAGGCTTTCCATCCCCCCACCTCCGTTTTTTAATTGTTGTGCTGGGTGGGGTACATTGTGACATTTACAACAGTTCTTACAATGTATCAAATATATCATAGTTGAATTCACCCCTCCACAGCTCTCTTTTATCCCTCCCTACCCCCATTCCTGGAATGATTTCAACAGGTATCATTTTTGCATTTACATACATGTTTACACATTTTTTTGGTATCATACTCACCCTCCTACCCCCTTTCTCTGCCCCTTCCCCACTTCCAGTGGTACTAACCAATTCCCCCACCCTCCTACTTCCACTCCCTGCAAGACCTGTTCCGCCCTCCTATTCTCTGATTTTATAGAAGAAAAAAGAAATTCTTTTTCCTCTTTTATTCCATCAGGCTCCCAGCCTGGGATGGTGCTGACCACATTAGGGGTTGGTCTTCCTACCTTAGTTAATCCTCTCTGGAAATGCCCTCATAGACACACCCAGAGATATGGTTTATTAATTTCCTTGAGTACTTCTCAGTCCAATTAAGTTGACAATCAAGATTGACCATTACATGGAGAGACCTGAAGTAGACTCCTTTTCCTGGACCTCATCTTGGAAGTCTTGCCTTGAGGTCCTAGGACATCTAGGGCTTATGGTCAGTTGTTGGTATCACTGATGTAGCTGATGGAGGGTCTAGCCAGTGTGCTGGGAGAATAGCAACTAGGAATCCTTTTTTCTACCCTCTGGGTCAACTCCAGAGTCCTCCAGGGAAAACTGATTTTCTGGTTTCCAGGTGAGGAAAACACTGTCATACCAAGATCTGAGAGATTCCTTACCTGTCCTGAGAGCCTTTGTGTATGTGTGTATGTGCACACACATGTGCCCATGTGTGACAGGTGGGAAGGGAGCATTGGGAAAACTTATCTTTATACAGAAGCCTGTGACAAGCAAAACATGTTGGCTGTCATAAGCTGACCTCTTCCATAAGCTCATAAGATAGATGCTATTTTGGCTTTGAAGTGAAGCCAATGAGCTTAACTTGGCCTGCAGAGAATGCCTTGTAGCTGTCTGTGGGTCTCCAGCCTGCTTTCAAAATATTCCTGTTTATCCCCGGGGCAGAGATCAGCTGCCCAGCATTTTGGGGCACCAAGCCAATGCTGAGGCTCAGATGTTTGGAAGGGGTCTGATAGTGGCAACCGTTGTCATCAGGGCTAGACAAGCATCAGCTGATTCAGGAAAGGCCCACAGATAGGAGCTCAGGGAAGCCACCTGTCCTGGGCATGCTGGCCACTTTATTAGAGCATGTTAGAGCAGCACAGTGTCTAGGTGTGTTGATTTCACCCCATGAACACATTCGTGGTCTGTCTGTTCCTCTCCATCCCTTCTGCCATCTTCTCACCCAGACCACCATCATCTGTTGCCTTGATCTCTGTTGAGGCTTCCTCACTAGTCTTCTTCCACTTCAGTCACTTTTTAGTTACCTCTCCATAAGATATTCATAGTGATCCTTCTTATATCCAGTTTGAATGTTCTTCTGCATAAAGCCTTCCCTATTTCTCCTTGGCCATTAGGTTGCATCATATTCTAGCCCCTGCTTACCTCATCATCCTATTTTCATATTTCATATTGCCTCTAATCCACACTTGGGCCCATACCCCTTTTTACCCCTGAGCATCTGTATTGTCTCAGCTAGGTGGTCCCCTCCTCTAAGAAGCCTTTCTTGACTCTTTGGCTGAACTTCCACAGGCATTAAGCTCATTGCTATACTGCAATCACCTGGCTGTTCTTCTGCCTTCTCTACTTGAGTTGTATGAAGTTAGGGGACCATGTCTAAGCCACTCAGAATAGTGCCAGGCCCATAGTAGAGTACTTACTGAAATCAAGTGCTACTGAGGTGGCGGTCATGTGAAGCCATTAGGACAGTCCACAGCGGAACCACACAGACCCTTGCCATGGTTCTCTGGCTCTGGGCAGCACATCTCTCCTGGCAATATCATTAAGCCTGGGGAGATGAGGAGAGAAATGTGCTTGATTATGTATATGAGCATGTGTATATGACAACTCACGGAGGTGGGTAGCATCCAGGTGGTGGTTCACTTATTTCAGCCTATAGAATCCTTTCCTGGTTTTATTATCTTACTTTGTGAGGCTCCCAAGGGAGTAAGAACTGTACCATCTGTCTTTCCTGGTCTTAGCAGTTGGGAGTCCAGTGTGTGGTGGTAGTGTAGGACAGTGTTTGGATGGGTTTTTTTTGGTAGAGGAAGCCATTTAGGTTCAGAATGGGGGAAGTTGACCCAATCTAGAGAAGTATACAAGTTGAACCTCAGAGATGGTAGCACAGTTTGGATGTGATAGGAGCACCTAAGCTCAGGCTGCGCTCAGCTAGGAGTGGTATGTGGGCCTGGCAAGGAAGGGAGGCTGCTCAGGCAGATGCAGGAACAGACCAAGTAGAATTCATAGAAATAATTGTGCAGGCAGCACAGACCTGGATAGGAGGAGGGATGAGTAGTGACCAAGCAAGGAAGTAGCTAGGGTTTAATAGTACAGGGGGATAATGGGGCCTTGGACGCCTGTTCTGGCCTCGTCTATAGGATTATGGGCTCTTGGCTAGAGCCACTGCCTGCAGAACTGCCTCCCCTACTGATGTAGCTGGCAGATCTGGTCCCAGTGCCCTCTGGGAAAACACAAAAGGCCAAAAGGGATAAGTCTGCCCCTCTTTCTGACTTCCAGCTTGCACGAGCCACTGTTCGAGATCCTAAGACAGGCGTTCTCACTGTTGCCAACTACAGGGTTTCTAAAAGGTAAGCAGAGATGGTGGTGGTGGGACAGCTGCTCAAGCTTCAAATCCAGAGCTCCCTGTGCTCCCACCTGCTGTCACTTCCTCACTCTCTTATAGCACTCACCATATTCTGCCTATTAGTACTGCTGGCCTTGACTTGGGGTAGGGAGCACAGGATCTCATCTAAACCTACCCTTCCCGTTGTCTTTGCTCTCTTCTTTGGCCCAGCTCCTGGCTGGAAGAGGACGATGACCCCGTTGTGGCCCGTGTAAATCGTCGTATGCAGTACATCACAGGATTAACAGTAAAGACTGCAGAGTTATTGCAGGTATTGCTGGTCCCTGGGACCACAAGGGTTGGGAAGAGGTCTGTTTGGCTAGATAAACTCCCAAGGTACCCATACTAGATCTAGGAAGGCTTGCCTAATAAACTATATAACTACACAACGCTGTGAATATGGAATGATCTCATGTTGGGAAACCAGAATTGATCATGCCTGCTGGATTCAACAGTGTTTGACAACTATCCACTGAGTATCTATTGTTTCCCCACATATCATCCTAGGAGCTAGGGAGCAGTGGTGGGCATGGCAGGTTCATTCATGGCTTCTTGACTACAGAAACTCAAATTCTGAATTATTTCAGGGACACCTAGAAGAGAGCTAAAAATAGCTTCAGAGGTCATGGTTCTGAGTGATAGTCAAATGCACTTGGAGATATAATGAATTGTTGTATGGTATGTTGCTAGGAGAAGTGAGAGGTCTGTACTCGTTAGCTGGGGGAAAGTGGAGTGTTCTTGTGAAACAAAGGCTTCTTGCCTTTATTTCAAAAGGTGATTGTGAAGAAGCCTGGCAGCATCTGGCTGAAAGATAGAGCTGTACAATGTGTCGTGTGGCTATTGCTTTCAATGCTGGTTGTGCTTTCTTCTGAAATTCAGAACTTCTGGGTTCTTCTATAAAGTTGATGACCTGATACACTGTTAGAGGTTTCACTGGCATCTTTCTAGTCCTCTGGATCTGTTTGGCCAGAGTTTCTGTATACTTAAAGATAGAAACCTTCACCTTTAGGCTTGGCATTTAGGTCTGACCAGCCATAGATATCACTAGAATATCGACTGAAGATCATTTGGAAAAGATTCTCTGAACTTTTGCCTGGACACATCCAAGCCAAAGTTGGTCATTCTTTTTTTTTCTTTCCATAGCTGCATCAGCAATCAAAAAACCAACTTTGAAGGCCATCATTATGGATTTGTGTGAGGTCCACTAGTTTTCAGTATCATGCTGATTGCCTTGCAGTCTTCTGAACATTTTTTATAAGCTTTTCCAGTTCATCTCAACTTACTCTAGATAAGTATGTCAATACAGGATTTCTGCCACATCTCCCACCTGCCTTGTGTGTATGATAGCACCACTATTTCAAGAGTGATAGGAGTTCTAGATTACATGCTTCCCTATTGGCATTATTTTGATTCATATATGTGTGTGTGTGTGTGTGTGTGTGTGTATATTTGGCGATACTGGGGTTTGAACTCAGGACCTCAACCTTTATAGGCACTTAAAGCCACTCCACCAGCCCTTGATGCATATTTTCTTGGAGCAGGATTTTTGTTTATTTTTTGTCATTGTTTTAAGACATCTGCCACTGCTTTTTCTACATCAGAGCTGATGTTTAGGACTCTCATGGCCCTGAACAAGGGCAGCAGTTGACTTGATTGGCTGATTTCATACCCTGGGTTGAGTAGATAGGACCTGTGCCTCTATTGCTCTCTTGGTTAGCTTCCTGGCAATGCTCTGTGTATTTCTGCATCACCCTCAACCAGAGAAGACAATAACTTCTTGTCATGGACTGGCTTCTATGCTATAGACTTCATCCTGTTCAGTGTCTTGTGTTATAGCTCAATCATCTGGTGTCTGAATGTTACAACTCTCAGTGGAAGTGCTCTAATACTCAAGGATATTCTGGCCAAGTGACTGATGCACCATTTTTGTTTGCATTCTTCCTTTAGGAGCTATTTTGGCATTTCACTTGCCAGCCAGTGGTGCTGGGAATGCTTTGATTTTACCGGGTCTGGGGAGCAGGAACCTGGGCTTCAGCACTTAGCTCTAAATGTCCACTCCTCAAGGACTGCTTGTGGTATGATAAATACTCAGGCACCAGCAGCAGCCCTCACATCAGGGACCCTTTGGGAATGCTTCTAGAAAGGGGTTGGTTCTTCTACCATCTGTGAACACTCTTTCAGTTCCAATCAATGTTTCCTGTAGACCTTTGGTGAGAAAAAGGGCAATTGAAGCTTTCTTATGAACTAGATGAGGGCCTTTCTGATAGAAGAGGAGATACTACACCTTCAGCTCCTTTAAATTTCAAGACTTCTGGCTTGAACTTCAGCCTCACCAGAAAAGTGATTTCTAACTTTTTTTCTTCCCTTCTGGCCTTGGCATAATACATAACTGTTTCTTTTAAATGCTGACTCTACCTTGTAGCAACATGTCTAAAGATTCAAATGAATACCTCTCCACAGGATTCAGTTTTGAGGTGCAGTTACTTGTAAGTTTGTGAGTGTGAGGACTTAAATATGCTGGGTGATGGATCTGATCACTGCAAACCCAGAAGTTCCCATGACTTTTGTACTTATTTGGAACTGCTAAAGAGTGAAGGTATAATGACTTTAGCACACGCTCACATTTAATTTTCCAAACTGTTATAAGATGAGCCAGCTGTAGCAGTGCTGCTTCTTTCACTGCCTAGGATCTGAAAGTTTAAACACTCCATCCATGGAATGGAAGTGTTGGAGAGTGCAGTCATAACTTGATAGCCCCAGTAACAAGCAGTGATTGAACTTTCTTGAATGCCTTGGCACACTAGTCATAGTCATGTCTAGAATTTTCTTCAAGCTCTTCAAGCTTGAATGGACCAAAGAAAAGCATATCTGTCAAAGCATTTGTGATAGCACTTTATCAACTGCTCAATGTAGCCCTTCTCTCCTTAAATGCACCTCCAGCCTTAGGACCATCTGTGGCACCAGGCCTTCTTCAATTGTTGACAAGATTGTAGACTTTTTTTGTGCAGGAATCTCTTTTTTTTTTTTTTTCCTTTTTCTTTTTGGCAGTACTGGGATTTGAACTCAGGGCCTCATGCTTGCTAGACAGGCACTCTATCACTTGAGCCACCCCCCACCAGCCCTGTGTAGGAATCTTGAACCAGTGGATAACAACATATTTTCATCCACTGATTCTTCACATCATTTATTTTGGTAGACACTGAAAACTGTACTGCCCAAAATTTCCATTTCATCGTATTTGGCAAGTATTCTTTGTGCCCCAACAGGAAGATTTCTTTTCCTGTAAGTTCTATCCTCTCTTTTTCCCATAACAAAAGGTCTTTGTTAGTGTTGTTTTTGTAGCATCTCTTGTCAGGTAAAATTGCCAAAAAGGATATACTTTCTGAGAACTAATGGCTGAGCACGGAAGGTTTTTAGGGTTTCAATAAGACACAGACCAGTTTTTCCTGGATAGACACTGGTGGTACCACTTGTCCCATCAGCTTCCCTGTCAGATTTTGTACTTCATCTTAAATTCTGTCTTTTGTTGTATCTGCTGAAGCTAAAATACCTATTGTGATTTAGAACATTACATTTTGTCAGTAAGCTGTCCACAAGGCATTTACAATTTTTTTGGTGGTACTGGGATTTGAACTCAGGTCTCTACCTGTTTAGCCACACGCTAGCCTACATTTACAATTTTCAGTCCAATTAATGATACCTACTAGTTGCTATGGCTCACATCTTGCTGCAGGTCCTGGTTCACTGTGGGAGCTGGGGTACTGGTAGCAATTTTTTGGACACCCAGCAGTCAACCCCCTCCCCCCATGTCCTCACTTGGATGCAGAAGTACTCCATGCAGTGGACCATTGTGAGAGGAGGTAGGAAATATTTGCCCCATTTGGCCTGACCTGGAATAGCTGCTGAGAAACAATGGCAGGAGCAATTCCAGGCACTAAAAAGGTCCAAATCTAGTGTTAAAAAGGAAAAATCTCAAGCCAGGCATGGTAGCATGTATTTATCATTCCAGATACAGCTGAGGCAGGAAGATTGCTTGAGCCAAGGCATTAGAGGCTAACTTGAGCAACATAGCAATATATTGTCTCAAAAAAACAAAAACATCTCAGTCTTGAGTTTGTTGTTGACTTTCCTTTGGATCACCTTCTTATTGCCTCCCAGGCTAGGGTCTGCTTCAGGAAGGCCTCTCTCTGCTACTGTCTCAGTATTCTTGAAGGGTTGGAGCTCCTCCACAGTGGCAGGTCACCTGTCTTGTTCTTTTTGGTGAATTTTTTTTTGGTGGTGGTACTAGGGTTTGAACTCAGGGCTTCACACTTGCTAGGCAGGTGCTCTATTGCTTGAGCCAAGCCTCCAGCCTCCTGTCTTGTTCTTTTTTGGGAAACCACATTTGTGCTTCTCTTAGCTACAGGCATATTTGCAACACTTGCTCCACCTGTGCTATCAGGACATGGTTAGAGAGGCTGCTTTGGGAGGTTCTGGTTGTTTTCAAGCCTTGGGAGGTGGTGTTCCTATAAAGATGGGTGCTACAGGACTGTTCATGCTATTGGAAAGGTCCAATGCTGTTATTTCTCACCAGGTTGCAAATTATGGAATGGGAGGACAGTATGAGCCACACTTTGACTTCTCTCGGGTAAGGCCTACATCATCAGCACTTTCCAAAGGCCCTGCTCTTGCTGCTTTGAGAAGGCTAGAGATTTTAGGAGCACTTCAGCCTCCACATCACCCCACCCCTACCTCCTGCCTCACTGGGGAAACTCTTCATTACTGGTGAAGCCTAAATCTGGGACCTATGAAACCTAAGGGAGCTTGGCTGTTTCTTATAGATGTGGGGAGTACTATCACTCTTTGTCCTAATTCTAAAGCAAAAGACCTCACTAGGTCTTTTTGAAAATTGTTTCTGTCCCCCTTGCCCCTCTCCATGCCAAGGCCAGAGTTGCCTTTGCAGCCTTGGCTCATGTTTCAAGCTGCTTTATAGAATGCATGTTTATTACCTTCTCCTAGCCCTTTTGACTCCAGGCCTTTGGGTGGTGAGTAAATTGGTTGCAAACCTGGGTGAAAGTTGTTGTCTGTTGCAGCGACCTTTTGACAGCGACCTCAAAACGGAGGGGAATAGGTTAGCGACGTTTCTTAACTATGTAAGTATTGAGTCCAGGCCCACTCTTTCACTCTCACTTAATTTTATAGAGTGATCACCAAGATGCTTTCAAGCGTTTAGGGACTGGGAATCGTGTGGCTACATTCTTAAACTACGTGAGTATGATGTATGCAGTTATGGGCCCTAAGGGACCCTGGGTTCAGAGGGCTCTCTTATATCCCACCCAGTCAGGGCTGATACTACTAGTTGTTGCATAATGATTTTTATGTTCCTGAACACCTTTGTTGGTTAGAGAGAGTTGGTTTTTGTTCACATCTGGGTGGTCCCCCATCCCCACCCCCTGCCAGGACATTATCCCTGGATTGTTTTTTTTCCCCTCAACTTTTTTTTTTGGGCGGGGACCTTGGGACTGGGGTTTGAAATCAGGGCTTGCAAAGCAGGTACTCTACCACTTGAGCCACACCTCTAGTCCATTTTGCTGTAGTTATTTTGTAGATGGGGGGGTCTCATGAACTGTTTGCCTAGACTGGCCTCAAACATCTAGCCTCGTGATCTCAGCCTCACAAGTAGCTAGGATTACAGGTGTGAACCACCAGCACCCAGCCTTCACTCCTGCAAATTTTTTTATTGTGGTAAAATACACATAACTAAAATTTACCACCTTAACCATTTTTAAGTATACTTTAATGGTATTAAATGCATGTTGTATAACCATCACCACCATCTACCACCATATCTCTTCTTATTCTATAAAACTAAAACTGTACTATCAAACAAACAAAAAATCCAGATTCCCCTCCCCTAGTCCTTGGCAACTATCAGTCTACTTTCTGTCTCTATGATTTCAATTACTCATACCACATAACCTCATGTAAGTGGAGTCAGAGTATTTGCCTTTTTTTGGCTGGCTGATTTCACTTAACTTAGTGTCCTCAAGATTCATGCATGTTGTAGCATATTCTGCCTTCCTTTTGATGGGTGCAGTGCTACTGTGGATTTTGGGATTATTGTCCTAACTCTCCTAGCAGCAGAGTGAGGAGGTAGCCATGAGGTGCTCTTGGGTGGAAGCTGCTTTTGTTTCCCCAGAGGCTGAGTAGCTTACTTCCCATCTGCTGCCTCTATCCATCCACAGACTTGTTGGACTTAATCTTTCAGTGAGGAACAGTTTGCTCTTCCCTTAAGGCAAGGGTCTGCTCTAAAGAGGTACAAACGCTGTCAAGGAACTTAGAGACAGAAGTTCATTTTTTTCTTTTAAATTTTACTTGTGTGGTTATTGTGTATGAGAGACTGTGCTATGGACTGCTGGTGAGCAGGATATACGTGGTCTCTCTTGGGTCACTTGAGGTCTAACTTGGGAGATTTTAAACACAGAATTATTTGGTTACCATAGAGACAAACAGTATGAAGAAGTAGCATGGGGGTTCAGAGTCCTCCCTTGGGAAGTAACAGTACTGGTTGAGAGTTGAAGGCTGAGTGGAAATTTGCTGGTGGAACGTGTTTCTGGCACAGAATGGGGTGTGTGTAAGCCTGGAAGAGAAAAAGGACTTGAGATGTTGGAAAAATAGAATAAGGCTACTGAGTCTGGAGGGAGAGGCTATGAGATTGTCAGGCCTTGCGGTTTCCCTGGGTTTGACTGCCAGGGCTGGGGAAGCCATTGGGGGTTTTCATTTTATTCATTTAAAATAGGTCTTTCGAGTGCTCTTCAGTCAGTCTGGTATGTGTTTGGTGGAAATATTTTTAAGCTCCAAGTTTCATTACTGTGTAGGCACAAAACTTGAAGAGCCAGATGAGAAAGAAGTTGAAGCACACTGAGGGTGTAAGTGCAGCCTTGCTGCTGCCGATCTTTGTGGTTAGTTCCAGACCTTGCCATGAGAAAGCGGGTCTTTAGACAGAGACAGCATCCTACCTGCTCACCCAGAGGAAGGTTTCTGGAAATTGAAGGTTTGACTAGAGAGTAGGAAGATGCTAGAGCCAGACAAACAGCCTACAAAGGCTGGGATTGGAAGCTGCAGGGTCAGGGAAGTTTGCTGGTAAGGCCCAGACTGTGTGGGAATGAAAGACATGAGGGTTAGGACAGGCATTTTCTGAGTATAGTTTCAGATTATTCCCATTCAAGGACAGCCTGCATGTGGGTCTTCTATGGGCCCCAAGCACTTTGAACACGAGTAGCATGGAGACTATCCTGATGAACCACAAGGATTCAGTGGGGTGTGGGAAGCATCTTGATTGAAGGGCTGGCCATGGATCAGAGCTTCCAAGCAGTGCCACACGTTTAGAGCAGGGTGATTTGCACACCTTATGTCCTCTGTGACTTAGTTGCTCTAAGATCCTTGGATAGAGGGGCCAAGCTCTGTGCCTTGTATTCCCAGATGAGTGATGTAGAAGCTGGTGGTGCCACCGTCTTCCCTGATTTGGGTGCTGCAATTTGGCCTAAGAAGGTAAGTGTGATTCTTATGAGTCAGAGGTTGGAGCAGGGCCCAAACCTTGTCTGTATCTTCTAGTCCCATTCCTTGACTGTCATGTGATGTGCTAACCATGTAATAGTCCACTGCACTTTTGACCTGGGGTCCCACCTTTTATCTGGAGATTAGGGACAGGAAGGGAAGTCCCTTCAGGGGCAGGTGGCTTTCTAAACTTCCATCCCTTTAGGGGCAGGTGGCTTTCTGGGAAGGTTCCCTATTGCTAGAGTCCCAGAGCCACATGTTCCCCTGTACACAGGAAAGGGAAGGTGTTTCTGTCCAGGCAGGGGTCTTTGGTGCTTGGGGTTAGGTCCCTGAGCCTGATCTTTAAGGATGTAGTCTGACAGGTCATCTTTTTTCCAGGGAACAGCTGTATTCTGGTACAACCTTCTGCGGAGTGGGGAAGGTGACTACCGAACGAGACATGCGGCTTGCCCTGTGCTTGTGGGCTGCAAGTGGGGTGAGTGGTTTGAGGGGTGGTATTGACTACTGTGGTGGCCTCAGTCTGGGATTTGATGGTTGGCCTTAGACTCAGAGCTGGGAGACAACTGATGCCAGACTGGCACATAGCCAATGCTATTTCCTGTTTTTTTTTTTTTTCCTGCCAACTGGTAGTACTATCCAGCCATGTAATGGTCTTCTCATCTGGTTAAGTGCTAACACAGCTATTTGGGGACACTCAGAGATGCCCACATAGCTGAGGAAGCCCTGAGCTATATAAGCATTGCAGGTCCAGGGCAGACCTCCAGAGGAGTGGGTTCTGGCAATGGTTTTAAAGAAGCATAAGGGAAATCTGGAGGCACAGAAGGCAGAAGGTGTCCCAGGCAAGCAAGACCCACATGGAATTACATGCAGGCTACAACCAGCTTCATAGGTGTAGAGGTTGGCTGCCCTGACACGTGAAGGAGAGGCCTTGTGGCGCAGGAATAAAGAGATAAGGGTGGAGGCTGGGACAGAAGATGAAGCTTGAGTCTAATCCTGGAAGCAGCTATGGTGAACCATGAGAGACTTGAACCAGGATATGGCAGGAAGTGATAAATTAGTTTATAACTCTTGAGAGTTTGGGGAGTAAATAGTGATAGGTTCACAGAAAATTAAGCAAATGAAGAAGAAAATGAGATAGTTGCTGGTTTCAGGGGGGAAAATTATATAAGGAAATGTAGATATAATCTAATAGAGGGCTCAAGTATATCATTAACATGATACAAACACTGCATATTAACTAAAATTTATCATTTAACTATATATGCTATTAATCATTATAAGCCTTATAGGTCATTTGTTCAATTAAGTATATGTAATACTTAAGTTAAATTATACTTAACAATCTCTATGACTTCACTAGTGCATTAAAGCAATTTTTTAATTCATTATGAGAGGGTCTACATTTGAGGAACAGAATTGTGGTTCATGTGAATTTGTGACATGGCTTTAGGTGACAGTCCTGTGATGTCCTCTGTACACAGATTATATCTGCTGGCCCACCTGAAGTTGATAGTCAAGCCCTCCACAGTGCTGACAGGCTTCTCTATCCCTTCACTCTCAGTTTCTGCCCATCACCACCCATTAATATTAGGCTTCTTGAGGTTCTTGACACCTAACAGTGGCTCCTGCCTTGATGACTTTCTCATTCCGTTTCCACTTTCTGCACTTCCAAATGGTGTAGGGGGCCATTTGATTGTGGGAGCCTTAAGAAATGTTTGTCTTCTTGCTGGGATAGCTTCTGTTCAGCTGCATATTCTAGCCCTGAAGTCTCTTCTTCCCTAACATCCTTAAGATGCACTTGGGCTCTGTTCCCGTGGCAACATACACACACATATTGTGTCACTGGTAGAATTTTGTACAATTATCTAGGTACTCATGTGTCTTCCTTAAGAGCTCATGAGCAACTCGACGCCCGGGACCATGTCTTGAGCACAGTGCAGACGTCATCACTAGAGTTGGTGTTGATTTGTGTGGCTGAACTGACCAGTGGGATTGTAACATACTTGCTTTCTGTTCACAGTGTCCAATAAGTGGTTCCATGAGCGAGGACAGGAGTTCTTGAGGCCTTGTGGATCAACAGAAGTAGACTGATGGATGTCCTTTTCTGCCTTTCCCCTTCCTGGCCCTACAAGTCATCTTCAAGTTCAGCATTACAGACACCTTTGTATGTTTGAGCTCCTATCAGGCAGGTCTTTGGACAAGTCAGTGTTTGTCTGAAGTGGAGAGAGAGTGTACTGGGCCAAGTCCTGGATGACCTGGGTCCCAGCTTCTGCAGTTAGCCTCTGCTGTCTCTGGCCCCAAGAATAGCATCAGAGTGGCTGCAGCAGAGCCAGACTGTCTAGCACCTAGGAAGGTGCCTTTGTACCTCAGATGTTTTAAGTATGAGATGTTTCAGTGAACCAAAGTTCTGATACCTTGTTTACATGTTTGTTTTTATAGCATTCTATCAGTTGTAGCTTTAACCAAAAAATAAAATAAAATGTCCCTGTCAGAAGTCTTAAAGAGCCTTATGTGGAGTATTTTTTTAAGACTCAGGAGGCTTCACTGTGTTCACCATTTCATATGCATTGTTTTGGTGAGGGCAGAGTCTGGATAATGAGTGGTTTAGCAGCAAAACCCTATTCTTGGGTTCTAGACCTGGTTTCAGCACTGTGTCTGCTTCAAGCTTTAGTGTCCTTTTCTTTAAAGTGCAGGTATCTCCCAGAGAATGTAGAGCGGGTATGTTCACAATTGGGATGCGGTTGTTTGACGTTTCTTCTTTTTTTTAACTTTGAGATGTACACACAAAATTGTTGATAGCATATAGATGAGTCCTTTAAAGAATGTGAAAGCAAGCAGGAACACCTCTGCTACCACCAGCTGATTGGAGATATACATTTTCTGATCATTACCTAGGCCGCTACTCAGAAGCCTCTCCTGGATCACATCTTTCCTCCCTTGGCACCTGGGTAGTAATCATTGTTCAGTGATTTGGAGTAGTAGATCCTTTGCTTGTCTTTTTACCACCTGTGACTATTTCACTAAATACTTAGCTGTTTCATTTTCATTGAGTTTTGAGCTGTATGCTAATGGAATCAGACTGTTTTGGGAGTATTTGGCTTCTTTCATTTGACATTGTTTTTAAGATTCATCTTCATTGTCGTACAGTTTAATTCTTATAATTCATTCAGTTAATGTATATTGTAGGACTGTACCATAATTTAGTCAGTATGCTACTGATGGACATTTGAGTTGACTTCAGGCTTTGTATATTATGATTAATGCTGTGGTAAGCATTTTTATAGTGATTTCTGGGGCACATAAACACACTTCTTTGAGATAATATACATACATACATACATACATACATACAGACATATACCCCCATACCTCCCCAGGAATAGAAATGTGGAGTCTTAACAGGTGAGTCTTCAACTTTACCAGTAATGTGTTGCAAAGTGGTTGTTACCAAAGAATAACACATTCTTACCAAAGAATAAAAGTAGTTCTTGTTACCCACTTTTCTCCAGTATCTGGTATTGTCATGTTTAGCTGGCTTGCAGCAGGTTATAGACTGAATGTTTGTGTCCCCTCCTCCCCAGTTCATATGTTGAAATCCTAATCCCCAATGTGATGGTATTAGGAGGTGGGTCTTTTGGGAGGTGATTAGGTCATGAGAGTGAAATCCTCATGAAGGGCTTAGTGTTCTTATAAAAGAGGCCCAGAGTGCTCTCTATCCCCATTTCTGCTCTGTAAAGACACAGCAAGAAAATAGCTGTTTATGAGCCAGAAAGCAGGCCCTTACCAGACAAGAATCTGCTGGCACCGTGATCTTGGACTAGAGTGAGAGAAATAAATGGATCATTTAACCCTATGTATGTTGCTCTGTTGTAGCAGCTCTACTTAAGACAGTACATGTGTAGTATTACCTATTTTAAACATAATAATGATGAAACCTTTTCATATGTTTATTAGTCATTAGGTTTTTTTTCAAACCTAACTGATTCATAGAAATTTTTAGTGAAACCTTTTTTTTCTTTTTTTTTTGGTGGCACTGAGGATTGAACACAGGGCCTTGTGATTGCTAGGCAAGTGCTCTACCAGCATAGAAAATTTTAATATGGATCCAAGCTCTTCGTTCACTATCTTTTCCAAATAATTTGTTTTGTGGTTTGTCTTTTTACTTTTTTAGTTCTGTCTTTGATAAAGAGATTTTTAACTTTAATGTTAAGTTTATCAAGTTTTTCCTACTTGCCTTATGCTTTTTATATCTTAAGACATCCTTCTTCCTCCAAGAGGATGAATATAATTTATGTTCCTATGTTCTCTTCTAAAAGGTATACAGTCCTTGTCTTTTAGTTTTATTTTTATGTAGTATGAAGTATAAGGCTACTTTAAAGTTTTTTGTGTATAGGATAAGGTAGGCTTAGTCTTCAGTAGTAAATAATCCCTAAATCTCAAGGGTTTAACATAAAACAATCTCTCTGGCAAAAAAAAAAAAAAAAACACTGGGTAAAGGGAAATTGCTATCTAATCTCCTAGCAGCTTTCACTGGCAGAACCTAAAAGGAAATCAGCTCATCAGGGAATCTGGGAAATATAGTTTACAGATTTATAGCTTCAATATAACAGACTAGAGATGGAAGGAAGAGATTAAAGCTAGGAAATGAGAAAAAATGGCACCTGAGGTGATTATTTTTTTCCTTCTTGTTTGTAATTTTTTGGCTTTTCAACATGTACAATTCTGGAAAATTATTAAATCATTTTCTCTTTACATATTGTCTGTGACCCTTCCAGAACTCTCATTAAATATATATACCATGCTTTCCTTCTTATCGCTTAACTTTTTTTTTTTTTGTGGTACTGAGATTTTAACTTGGGACCTTACACTTGCTAGGCAACTTGAGCCATGCCCCCAGCCCTTTTTGCTTTAGTTATTTTCTGAATAGGGTCTTGGATTTATGCAGGCATTTAGTCCACTCTGTTAGCATGCCTGATAATTTTTGATTGGATGCTGAACATTGTGTATAAGTTGTAGAGCCTCTAGATGGTGTTAACCTCTTACACAGAAGGCTTACACTTTTCCCCAACGAGGCAGAGTGGACCTTAATCAGGGACTGAGTTGACAATTAAGGCTGAGTTGCAGTTTTGTTAAGACTACTTCTAGTTTACCCTTATTGTCCCCCCACCTTGCAGGATATAGTCCTCTGGGGAGTTTCTAATTGAGAGCCTACAATGTTCACTGGAACTATCCCTACTGGCAGTTCCTCAAGTTTATTCCTTGTATCCTCACTATCTGGACTCTGCCCCCCAAATTCATTCTCCTTTTCAGAGAATTTGAATTTTTGAATCTAAGACAGAGAATTTTTAACTTAGTGTCTTAACTTTCCATTCTGTCTAACTTTAGAATTCAGAAAATGTCTTAATAGGCAACGAGGGTGAAAGTTCTCTACTTTCATATTCATTATCTTTATGCTTTATGTCTTTCAATGCCTTTTGATACTGCCAAAAGCTCTGTTGGTTTCTCTGCCTCTTACAATCATCAGTCACTCTGGATCCTCATTCTTATCCCATGCCTATAATCAGTAAATGATTTAAGATATCAGGGGCTGTAGACTTTTGGTTCATTAACACAAACTTCATCTTTTTTTTACAATGTTGCTGTAAGCCCTTTTTGTTTTAGCAATTCATTGATGTTTTCAAACAATTTTTAAAGAGATTTTATCCAGCTTTCATGTTTCTTAGGTTTTGTGGTGTGTTCTTTTGGGAGGAGGATAAAAGGTGGTGTACTATAAACTATTTATCTTGTCTGGGAGTAGAAGTTTATCATTTATTTTATTTTTAAAAATTATTTTTAATGTAAAATAAAGTACAGATACAGAAAACCTTATCTTGAGATCTTTGTTATCTGGTTTAGCAAGATGTTCCATATTCATTTGAACATTTCTTGCATTAACCATGGAATCAATCACTAAAGAATCTGTTACATGTTGGTGCCTACTCATCAATCCCAGCACAGTCCTAGAATAACAGAAGATAACTTCTACCTTAGAAACAGGGTACTGCTTTTAGCAATCCTTATTTAATCTACTTAGCTTGCCATTTATATGTTTACTATGGCAGCCAAGCATTATCAAGCATTTCAGTGTGCACTTGATACTGTTTTAGGGATGTTATTTCATTCATCCTTAGTCCAGTGTTACTGGAACCATGATCCTCCTGATCTCTGTCTCCTGAGTAGCTAGGATTATAGGCATGAGCCACTGATGCCTGGCTAGAGCTGAGTGTTAAAGCATGAATTTTGCTTTCTCTGCTAGCCCAGTTTAAAAAATAAGACAAGTAGCTTACTGTGAATAATTCTGCCCCACCCTATTGCTCCCCACCCCTAGTCTTACTTTCTAGAGGAATCAGTTTCAAGTATCTTTGTTTTTAGGCTTGCTGACTTCAAATCATATGGTTATAAAAGTGCCATTTTTGATTTTGCAGCTTTAGAAGTTTGAAAGATAATCATTATATTCACTATCTTCCATTGCACCTCTTCTCCCTTTGCCACTTTTTGATATTTGTAGTATTTATACCCCTTTGTTTGCCTGTCAACATAAATCTTCTTGCTAAAACTAAGATGGTATCTCTGGCATTCTGGAATGTGAGATGAATCTCTAGACTAGCATTTGACCAAAGTGATTGCCATCATCTAGCCAAGATGACACAAAATTTTCACATGCCTTTTCTCCTTTTAATTTCTGTCAATTACCCTTTGAGCTTATACTATCCATAAGTTAACCTCTAAAAGCTTAAAACCTAAGGGCGATGCCTTTTAACTTAGTTGCACTCAGTATAATGTGATGTAGCTGGTCATAAAATGGAAACTATGCCTTATTTGTATAATAAAAACAAATTTATAATATGTATTAGTTTTCTAGGGCTGCTATAATGAAACACCACAGACGGGTGGCTTAAACAAAAGACATTTGTTTTTCTCACAGTCCTGGAGGCTGGAAGTCCAAGATCTCAAGGTGTCAGCAGGTTAGGATTCTTCTGAGACCTGTCATCTTGGCCTGCAGATGGTCAACCCCCTGCCATGTGTTGTCTATGTTCTAATTTACTCTTATAAGAACATCAGTGTTACTGGACTAAGGTCCAAACATATGACTTCATTTTATTTTAATTTCATCTTTAAGGACCTATCTCAAATACAGTTACTTACTGGTTAGGACTTCAGCATATGAATTAGATTTGAAATACTGTGGGAGAATTAAGGAAGGAAAATTCTTTTCCTTATTCTTTATATATCAGATATGTACATCATGAACATGTGTCAGATTATTAAGTATGTTTATATAAGAGTAATGTCATAACAATAGAAAAGTCAATTATTTTATTAAAATGACAAAAAAGGGGATATGGGCTTTTCCAATTAATAAACTGGGAAAGAAGATATTGACATAAAATACCATTCAAGCCACGGATATAATAACAGGATGTAGCAAGTGTTTATACAAGGATGTAAAAGCCATTATCCCCCCAAAAGTGATTATGCCAAGTAAGTTCATAATCTTAAGTGCAAAAGTGCTTTTATGTATTCAAGTATAATCTTTTTAGTATTGTACAAAGAATATACAGCTTTTGTGAATTCATTGAGCAGATGGAATATTATGCTTGTTGTAAAAACTACTTTAAAAACATGTGAGCCAGGTGCTGGTGGCTGAAGATTACAGTTGAAGGCTAGCCTGGGGAAAAGTTCATGAGACCCCTATCTCAACATTGCTCTGCACTGTGGCATGCACCTGTCATCCCAGCTATGCAGGAGGCTGCGATCAGAAGGATGGTGCTTCTAGGCAGGCTGGGCAAAAGGTTGGGAGACTCCATCTTAGTGGAAAAAACTGGGCATTGTGGTATGCACCTGCCATCCCAGCTACAGTGAGAGGCATAAAATAGGAGGATCACAGTTCAGGATGGCCTGGGC